TTCCGAATACGCACGCCCACCACCTTCGCGGCCTGTACTTGCCTGGGCCATAACGGGGGAATTGTCTTATTCTTCTTATCTTCTTATATCTAATGTACTAGCTAGCAGCTATGAATCAAAATCAGTATAAATTAATAATGATAATGGCTTTCATATATTGGCAACATTAACAGTACACATATCCTTCTTTTAAAATATCTTGGCATCTCAAAGTCATCTTATCACATCACTTTATGCCCCGCCACACCTATTTGTTCTCTGCAGCGGACTCATGCAATGTTCCAAGCTGACAAGATATTTGACAATATCTTTAGCATATTGTTATTGACAGGCCTATTGGGTAAATTTAAGTATTACAAACTTAAATGTTCTAATTAAGTAATAAACCCATTTTTCCTCACACCTAAATCTGAATAACTATCAAATAAATATTAATTTTTATTTCTATTCCATCTGTTAAAAGATCTATCAGACTAATAACTCAATGAATATAACTTCATTTCGCACACTACAAAACTAAATATTTACACAGATTATTGATGAAACACTTTCAATAAATAAATAAATTAAAATTCGTGTCAAAAAGACGATGTTTATACAAAAAACAATTATTCAATGTAGCATATTATTTGGTTGTGTGCTTGGATATTTATTTGCAAATTGATATAATTCTAAAGAGTTTATCGTATTTCTCAAAATGTGTACGCAGGAATGCGTCCGTAGCGTAAATTTATTCAAGTACATTGTTCAGTGATGAAGTGTTTACAAATGATAATTATTGTTATTTAATAACTGAATATAATAATTGTAAATTTGAATATAAATATTTTAACTGTTTATAAAAAAGTGAATGCACAAACTTGCTACGTTGAGCAGTGCGCGTCGTCTCCGACTTGCTGTGTCCACCTTCATTATGTTGAAATAATCAACAAAACACATAAACTAATCACAGACCGCAAAATAACAAAATGAATAACTTAAAACATGTTTTCGGCGATAATTCTAACGTAACGTTAATTAAATTAAACGAAATCATATAATTAACACAAGAGAATGGTTACGAAAATAAAAACTAATAACAAACATCACCGTATAACGTCCATGATTGACTGACGGTGGCGACTGACCTGACGGCTGACTGTGTTGCTATCTTCTGTTTTTTATTAGATTTTTTTTTAATATTCAATAAACTACGGAAATTTAAAATGCAAAAATAAGTTATTCGTAAGTTTTATCCTAAATCATACCAAAAATAATCCTTAAATGTTTATATGTTGGACCTATCATTAGCAACAATGAACAATACTTTATGCAAAAAAATCACTTAATGTACCATGTCTTACCATAATAGTCGCTATTGACGGTTTGGATTTGGCATGGTTTGGCGATGAAAATCACTGAGAAGTGGAATAAATAGTCCTAGTGCTTGTATTCGTAATTTTTGAAATCTCCCAATCCCCTGTGAACTTTTTTTACTGAACATCCTCTGAAAAATTTATCCACAAATTTAAATTTAAACCCATTTCAAACGTATTTCTAAATAATAAATACTCATTTAGAAAAATCTACAGTATAATAATAAAAGTTATAAATTAAATGTAAAACTCTATGTTCAAGAAAATGGAACGGAATGACATGAAAATAAATGTTGCTATTTTTCTTAAAAAATGGCAGCCTTTATGTCGTAAGCTTTTCTTTTTCTATATGAAAAGTTTTTAAACATCAATTTATGCACGATTTATAATGCAATTTGAGAAGATTCGTATGGTTTTCTTGTATTCAAAACGGAGTAAATAATAATCTAATGTTGAAAGATACTATGACTGTGGAATCCGCAGTAAGTACATACTACGTGGTTATATTCTTTTTATAGTTGTGTATATTTGCTGTAAATTTATTTTTCTTGTAGTAAAATTCCGGTTAATCTTTAACGTTGTTGTTAGAATTTGAGATGTTTAATTTTGATTATTTTTTTAGGTGGTGTAGTCTTTTCTGCAAATGTTGAAGGGATAACGCGACAAAGAGAACAGTGACATCACAAAAGCTAAAGAGAACAATAATAATATGAGCGCTGGAAGTGCGACGCTGGAGCGAGAGCTGGCTAGCACTAGGCGGTTGCTTTGGGGCGATCACATCAAGGAGGATGTATTTCGGCGTTGGGCGCAGGGGTTTCAGTTCAGTCCAGAAGAGCCAAGCGCACTAATACAGCAGGAGGGAGGGCCGTGCGCAGCCATCGCGCCAGTGCAGGGTTTTCTCCTCAAAATACTGTTGTCTGAGACACCTGGACATAGTTTTCAAGACTTGACATCGGAAAAGTGCAATTCTTTGCTTGTTAGGGCTGTGTGTACAATAATAAGCCAGTGCCTAGTTTCTAAGTACAATGTGGCTGTGTACCGCAAAAACGATACGGAAGCAAACACTAGCGCTGGCAACAATGTTAGTGCAGAAGAACAATCATGTGATGCAATTGACCATTTTCACCGTAGAATGGAAGTGCACTCTTTTCAAACATTGTCGGAAGTGGAGGCTTTCTATACAAGAAACATTCGCATTTTAAAAGATAAATATGGAGTTCTGCTTTTGTTATACAGTGTCATCCTCAGCAAAGGAGTGAGCACAGTGGAAGCAGAACTAGCTGAATTATCTGATCCTCTCATACACTCTACCTATGGTTATGGATCTCAGGGACTTATTAATTTAATGTTAACTGGACGGGCAGTGGCTCATGTGTGGGACCATGACCAAGTTGTTGGTGGGTTGCGACTTCGTGGCATCGAGAGGCAGAATGACATAGGTTTTCTTACCATAATGGAGCATATGCAGTACTGCACTGTTGGTTCCTTCTACAAAAATCCTAAGCATCCCGTCTGGGTCCTGGCTTCGGAAACTCACTTGACTGTCTTGTTTTCCTTGGAGCGGCGACTAGCAGCACCGGAAACTGCAGGAGAATCAGCTGAACGAATTTTTCGCTCTTTTGACCCTGAAGGCAATAATTTCATACCATCTGCTGCACTTCAAGATGTTTTGTGTGCTGCAGATCTTGTCAGTGAACCTGAGTATGTGGAACTGATGCGAAGAAAACTTGACTCTGAAAATTTGGGTATAATTTTATTAAGTGCATTTATGGACGAATTCTTTCCTGGTTGCGAGCGTGGTGCCCCGGATACATTCACATTACACCACTACAATGGTCTATTGAGAAGTAGCCCGGGTGGACGAGTAGTGTACAGGACAGGCCGCGCTGCATTGCTGGAGTGTCCGATGCACGCAGCCACCACGGACCCTATGCTTACTTGTCTGCAAACTAAATGGCCCAGCATTGATGTGGTGTGGGATGACGGTCAGTCACCATCCCTGAACTAGCGTGCCCTGCTTTTATAACAAACCGTGCTCGGAACTGATGCTGTGACACAGTGAGGAGAATCAAAATGTAACTTTACTTAGTTACTGAAAATTCCATTACTTTATTGTATTAACTTATATATTATATAAATATATATATATATATACATAGAAATTATATTGGATAATGACCTGTGGCCCACATGTAAACCTTGCACTGTTTTGGGCAGCTATTTTCCATCAAACTCATCAATTGCAGTGAAAAGCATATGTCCGCTGTTGATTGCTCGAGGTGGTATCAGTTAATTCTAAAGAAATTTTGAGAATAGGTAGTCCTATAACTTTGTAAATCTTTCATTTGACAAGAAATGCTTTAAGCAAGGAAATTGTACTGTATTGTAAAATGTGATTTTACAAACTACTTGCTTATAATATACATTTATGTATAATATTTCAATTATTTTTTACTTACAATTTCGGGTTAGTGAATATTTTTTGTCTTGCTGTATTATAACACTAATATGATCTAAAACAGATATGAAATATATTTGTGTATCTGCAGGGAGTGTTGCTTAACAAATATTGTGGAAAAAACTGCCAAAAGACTTCCAAAGGTTCCAGTAGCCATTTTGTTCCCTGTACCTACCCTGTACTGTTGTGCACTTCACGCATTTTGATTTCAAATACAATATTGTTATAATTATAAGATTTATTGTTAGACCCAATTTATGAAGTGATGGTCATCTCATGTGTTTGGGGCCTAAATTCTAGTAGAGGTTATTGATCTCCCTTGGCTCTCAGCAATCACTTGAGGTTTTTAATACAATTAGTGGCTAAAGGATTGATGCCTTTTATTTTAACTTACGGTTTTATTTGCTACTGCTATATTAAAAAAAAAACTTGAATTTGCTTGTTCATTTTTATTGCCTAATGATGATAAATGTTTAATAACATTTTAATTACAGATATTTATGTTTAAACCTGTTTAGATGTATAAATATTTATATAGGAACTGCCAATATGTCTTAAAGAGATTTCTATTTGTTCGGTGTAAAATATATGAATGTCCCCATATTGGGGATGCAAGGGATTCCAACTCATAAACTCTGCAGTAGAACCAAAGTTCTAATTGACATTGTCCAAAGAATTAATTGCACACTTCCAAATAGTCAG